AATGGCATAAAGTAGTTTAGAAAATCTTCAAGCACCTCCCTTTTTTCCAATTACCCTTATCCAAAGTCTGGCTTTCTTATAATCCATCCCTTGGATTACAAAACAGCTCTCTTCTGGGAATTTCAAAACACTTCCCATTATGTTAAGGGAAAATGGGTACACCAGAGTCATGGGTTACAGAATCGCTTTCTCCAGACCTGACTTCTCTTTAACGTGGCTAAGTGGAAATAATTTAGCTGGATTAAATGAAAGCTACTTCACTTACGGGATAATCTCAGGAGACATGAGTGAGGTTTTTCATATGGAGTTCCTTAGTAACATGTACTGTTTAGGATATGAAAGAAGGAATTAAGATAATGTTTTCCAGATGACTCTTGGCCCAATCCTAAGAATCAACAATAACAATCAATAGCAAGGAACATTACACATTCAACCCTGAGTGATGAAGAGAGTTCATTCAGGAAGAGAGCCCCTTAAACTCTGAATTAAGGGCTCTTTGGTAAGATCATATACTATAATATTTCAAACCAAAACTTCAGAATGGTTCATGATCCTATATCACAACTTTAGAAAATATACTTTGTCCTCTGGAAGTCATTTCACATATATTATTTTACCCCCAGATAAGCTACAACTACCTGCTTAAAATGATTTTTTTAAAAACTATGGAATTAAATAAACATGCATCTCTAGATTTCTAGGGCAACTTTTCATCCTCTCTTAGAATGAAGAGCCATGACATTAACTCTGGTCCACATACCTGAGGCCTAAAAGAAGTCAAGGTACATATAATAGGAATCAGATCATGAGCCTGATTTCAAAGCCAGTGTCTTGCCTTTGGACTCCATGTGTGAGGCATGCCTATTTGTAAATGAGTTCCACTACCACAGGCTTTAGGCAACAGTGTTTTCTTAGCTTAAGAATTCAAACAGGAGGGGCTTTGTTTGGCCTTCTTGGTTTAGGCAGGGATAACAATTGAGAGGGAGCAGTGATTTCTGAGCAAAATTCTAAGATCTATTTGATAGCTTTGCTCTCCCCTGCCCGCATACTCCTACCCCTTGCAACCTCATTTTATTTTGTTTTCGCTCCTGGTGGTCAATTTTAAAAGTCAGTTCTCAAGCTGCACGAAATGGTTTAACTTATGCCCCTCCCTTATGCTCCACTAAAACAAGTCTTTTATGTAAATATTAGGGTCACTCAACTCCACACCTTAGAACCACGGACACTAGGGTTAAAAGGCAACCTTTTGCAGATAAGCGTTCTTAACAAAAAAATATAAAAGTACAGACTTTAGAGTTTGGGTTTCAACTAATTCTCTTCAAGAGGGACTGAGCAGGGCTCATCATAAACATAAACATTATTTTTTATAGATAAAGACATTTTATGATAATACCTAATCCCACTGCTTAATATAAGGCAGCGTTCAGATTTCACTCTTCCATGTACATATTATAATGGGACAATATCCACTTCTTTAAAAGTCTGAGTTTTTCTTCCCAAAATAACAAAAATATTTTTTAAAGTGCACATATCAATTCATTAAGAAAAAAAATAAGAATGGTCAATTCCAAATTGCTACCTACTTCCATGATAAAGCTACCTGTTCTCTGAGGATTGAGTTTTGGTATCAGGATCCTGAGGTCATGTCATCAAGCAACAGAGATTAGCCCTTCTGGAGCAGCTTCACAATCACTCCTGTACGGAAATGCCAGTTAGTAAGGAAAACAGCAGAGATCATGGCCTGAGGGAAAAGGGAAATACAGCACAGGTTTTGAAAGATGGAGACCAAGAAACAATTTTTTTTTTTTTGAGATGGAGTTTTGCTCTGTTTCCCAGGCTGGAGTGCAATGGCACAATCTTGGCTCACTGCAACCTCCACCTCCTGGGCTCAAGCGATTCTCCCTGCCTCAGCCTCCAGAGTAGCTGGGATTATAGGCACCCGCCACCAGGCCCAGCAAAGTTTTGTATTTTTAGTAGAGATGGGGTTTTACCACGTTGGCCAGGTTGGTCTCAAACTCCTGACCTCAGGTGATCTGCCCACCTTGGCCTCCCAAAGTGCTGGAACTACAGGAGTAAGCCATCGTGCCTGGCTCCAAGAAACATTTTATGAAGACCACCTCCTGGATAACTCATGTTGAATGAAACAGGTCTGCTAAAAATCAGGGGCTCCCTGACAGAGCTGATGTTGTCTGTGCAGGGGACATTCTCAGCATTCTCTAACTGGAACTTGTCAAAAGGAACAGAATGTTAGAATCATCTTTGCTTAAGAATTGGTAGTTTAAAATTTTTTAACTTACATGGGGGGGTGTATGGTACATATATATATATATACAGTAAACCAAAAATAAAATCCCAAACCCCCCAACTGGCTGAGTGTACCCCCCTCTTGGCCTAGGGGATCCGAAAGGAACCTGAAAAACTAGTCCATGATAGAAAGAAGAGGGTCGGACATGCCTCATTTTACCCTCTTCACTTTGGAATTTAAATACAACTGACCAGCATTAACATTAATACAGAGATCTTAAGACTAACCCAACAGACTCTTTGTGGCAATAAAATACCAAATCCCAACCTGACTCTGATATAGCATCACATGACAGATAGCAGGCCCCAAAGGAAATCAAAGTATTTTACTCCCCAATATATTTATTTAACATATTTTGAAATGGCCCTACAAAGCTGTTTCTTCTGGGGGAAATTTGCATTCTGTAGAAAATCTCCCTTTTTTTTTTTTCCTTCTTTTTTTTTTATTTAAAGAGACAGGGTTTCGCCATCTTGGCCAGGCTGGCCTTCAACTTCTGACCTAGTGATCTACCCACCTCAGCCTCTCAAAGTGCTGGGATTACAGGCGTGAGCCACCGCACCCGGCCATTTTTTTTTTTAAAGAAACCTTCAAAGCTACTGCAAATCAAGAAAATCTCCTTCTCTTATTAGGTCTTTTCTGGAGAGTCTGACACCTTTTAAGGTCTAATAAGAAATATTCATCATCTACTCTCTCTGAAGCCTGCTACCTGGAGGCTTCATCTACATGACAAGAACCTCAGCTTCCACAAGCCCCCCTTACTTTAACTTAAGCTGACTTCATCTTTTCAGGTAGATCTTAACTTTTTCAACCAATTGCCAGTCAGGAACTCTTTGATCTACCTCTGATCTAGAAACACCCATCTTCGAGATGTCCTGCCTTCCCAGGCCAAACCCATGTATACTTTACATGTATTGATTGATGTCTTTGCCTGGAACTTCTGTCTCCCTAAAGTGTATAAAGCTGTAACCAACTACCTTGTAATCCCTACCTTGGGGATGTGTTCTCAGAGCCTCCTGAGGCTGTGTCATGGGTTCTTAACCTTGGCAAAATAAACCTCTAAATTTATTCAGACCTGTCTCAGATACTTTTTGGTTTACAGTATATTTATATTTCTTTTAAGCTGTTTGCTAAAATTTTTTCACAATATAACACTGGCGGAAAAATCAATACTTAGTCTTCCTTTTTAAAAGCCCCATGTCTCAACAAAGCGGCAAAACTAAAACTAAATAAATTTAAGAACTCCAATCTCTCCTACTATGAAGCACTTTCTTTCAATTGCTTGTTAATATTTATTTGTGCTCTAGAGAACAGGGTGAGGATCAAAGCAAACAATTTTCATTCCGTTGTTTGGGTCTATAAATTTGGACTGGGAGGGGCCAAGGAAATGACCATCTCTTAGAATTTGCTGAGCTGCGCGTTCTCAGTAATTACCTGTGCTTCAATAAATAATATCTTGCCTTACAAAAAACAAGTTCAATTGTTTCAGAAATGTAATGAGAGGATAGTGAATCAGTGAAAATATCTTCTTTTAGCTATTTTGGAACACAGAAACCCTGACTGTCAGTGAAAAACCAGTATGGAATGAAATGTCACCGTGCCCAGGACTTCCAAAGTGACCAGATGCTAACAGGCACACAGAGGCAAGGAGAACAAGTCCCTCAGGCTTCCCTGATGCAACAGAACTAGCATTCCAAAGAAAATAAGCAGAGAATCTCATGGTGAAAAGAAATCATCAATAACAAGTGTTATCCTTGGGAGCTTGCTACGTATGGCCTGACAGTTTCATTTTGAGAGGAAGGCAGAAGTTAATAATAAACAGGAAAAATAAGCAAGGCTTTAGCTGACTAGAAAACAGCTCAGTAGAAAATTATTTTACAAAGATTATATTCAATTAGCTAAGGCATGATTTGACTTCAAGGATGCAAGAGCAGTCACTCAGCTACCCAATGGGATGACACACTGCAAATCTGGTCTTCACTGCCTCAACAGACAGTCACTAAAATAATTTCTTTAAAGGTATATAAATTTTGGCCAGTGTCATCCTCTACAAAACACATTTGCAAATATAAAATAATGGAGGTATGATACAGCTCAGAGGATGGGAATGCTCTGGCAATCCCCAACATCCTATCCCGCTTGGGGCTTTGCTCCAAGGGGAAGAGAAGGCGCAGGATGTATTGCATTTGATGTGATGTAGATGCTACTCAGGACCTACTGGGAAGAGTCCTGCTCCTTGAGTTATGCTACTGCAGGGATAGACCCTTGGTGTGAGGAATCCAACAATGAAGGAGTGAGGCAAAGGAAACATCACGAAGAAGGTGACTCCTCTGAGAAGACAAAGGACTCCGAAATCCTGGAATCACAGGATATCTCTGATGGGCAATTCCTCTGCATTCAATCCCCAGCAAATGGGCAGATTCCCTCACAACTTATAATTCTTCACAGGAAGTGCCGAACTATACCCTAAACATGGAGTAAGGTGGCATCATCCATCTCTGAAGGGCCATACTCTTCACAAAGCCATTACAGGACTGACCTGCAGAAATAAAACATGATCGCTTCCCAAACTCTCTAAAAATATCTTCTCTAACTCCATAAAAGAGGGGGCCTCCATGGCTCAGAACAGATGGGAAGCCTTCTGAGAAACAGATGGAAACTGTTTCAAAGGCAAAATGAAATGTGCTAAAAAAATAAATACAGTAATAAATAAATCTAATTATTCTTCAGAATTCGTAGGCAGTAACAGACGTAACACGAGGAGTAAGAGACAGAGAAGTACAAACACAGAGACTGCTGAGGTCCCATCTCACTGTCTCCTTCTCTGCCTGGGGGCCCAGCATCTGGTGCTCTGGTGACCACTGGCTGTAGCACCACCTGCACTCTGTGGCACTCCTGAGCCTCAGGGGTGACAGAGGAGGAAATGCTGTCACCAGGGAAATGCAAGCTTTGGTCAGGTAAAGAACAAATAGAATCAGCAGCAATAGTGAAGCTTCATCATCACCTTAACTAAGGGACTCTGAACACCAAAAGCTTTAAGCCCTCAATGCAAGAAACCTAAATGCAGAAACTTTGGAAACCTGATTGGGTTTCAGTGCATTTGATTCCAAAGCAACATTTCTAAATAGCACTCCTACTCTAAAGACAAAAAAAAAAAGTGGGGACTCTGGAGTAGTTTTTTTGTTTTTCATCTTCTCTCTCAGATGATACCATTCCTTCTTGGATTATACCAAAAAAAAAAAAAATAGTAACACTTGACCTTCAAATATGTGGGTTCTGCCATCAATTCAGTACCTAATTTCCACTCTATCCACTTTGACTGCCAGTGCCCTTGGAACAGGAAGTAATGGAGGCAGTTTTTCTTCCCACAAGATCTTACGTTATGTTGATCATCATTTTAGATTGCATGGAAGTTCTTGCTGTAATGGCAAAAACGTAGACTTAGGAAAGGAAAGGAGGGGGCATCTACCATCAGGAATAGTAACAGCCCTCCAAAGGCAGTGTGGTCTCTCAGCTATGCAGAGACCAAGAATAACCAGCAGGCAGGAATATGGCAGTGGTGACAGGCTGGACAGAGCTTTCTCCAACCAAAAGATTGGGCTCCTTCATGGACAACGTGCTTTTCCCTCTTCTGGCACCTCAAAAGGTAAAGAGAGTGGGTGCCACCAAATGCATTGGCAATAAAGGCTCTGGGAGAGGAGAGGGCAGCAATCTGAATGATAAACCTGTGCCAAGATAAATCTATTTTTCAAAAAACAACGCCCTGCTTCCTTTTAGGCTTGTGCCCGATAGGTGCCTTCAAGAGGGAATTTGCTGGAGTCTGAAGCAAGAAGAGTATGAGTCAGGGACCACAGAACAGGGGCACTACATCACCACCTGCAGAAGCCAAGAAGGGGAAAAGCTACGTGGGTCAACAGTCAGACATGCCAGACAGGGTGTGAGGCTCGGGAGCCCCACGTGAGCCTTTAGCTCTTGCCTATCCCAAACAAGAGGCACCAGCTGGCAGCCTGCTTCAGCCAGCAAATACAGCCTGCCCGTCCCAGCGGTCCTTCAGCTCGTGTAGTAGATGTGGAAGTAGAGAGTCTTGTTGCGCAGCAGGGAGTAAGAGTTGTCAAACTTGAGCAGGTAGATGCCCTCCCCAGGGTAGTCATGGCTGCCAGCCTGCACGTCTCGGTGGCTGTCCCGCCGGTACACAGGCATCACCTCCCCATAGCGACCCCGCAAGGAGCTCCTGGAGCCTCTCTCCACATCTCCAGCTGGAACGGGTTCTGCATGAGCAAAATGGCAGTGTTTGGATATGTGTTCAAAGACTGCATAAGTCCTACCTCAAAGTGAGCAGAAGGACCTGGTAACCCAGTGGCTTTCACAGAGGGGGGAAGTGATTGTCCTTCTACAGACATTTGGAAATGTCTGGTAATCTTTTCGTCATCACAATGACTACTAGGTGATACCTGCATTTAGTACCCAAGGGTCCAGGAGTACTAAAATCAGGATAGTACCTACACAACAAAGGAGTGTCCCATTCTAAATGCCAATAATGTCTCCACTGAGAAACAACGGTTTAGCCTGATAAGAGCCTTCCTAGCTTCAGAAGTGTCTGGACATTTCTAAGAGGGAGAAAGATATTTAGAAGGAAAAATTCTGACATTCTTTAATAGGTGAAAGGACTAGCTAATGGAGATAGGAATTGCAGATAAACATGTTATAAAATGACCCTAGCACTTTTACTTGGCTTCCTGAAAAGCAGCAAATAAGATACAAGGTTCACCTGTTTCCCAAATACTTGTAGATTTTCCTACAGGCTTGCTTTTCTATGAAGAGGCACGTTAAGGGATTGATTTTAAGATTATATAAGAAAATCAAGGAATAAGACTAATGCTTAGAACCTACTCTTACATTACCTGAAAAAAATGCCTCTGGGCCATCCTTAGTAGACACTACGAATAACAACTGGAATGGAGCCCAGAGACCCTTTCAAAATTTCTCTGGGGGCCGGGCGTGGTGGCTCACACCTGTAATCCCAGCACTTTGGGAGGCTGAGGCAGGCAGATCACGAGGTCAGGAGTTTGAGACCAGTCTGACCAACATGGAGAAACCCCGTCTCTACTAAAAATACGAAAATGAGCCGGGCATGGTGGTGCAGGCCTGTAATCCCAGCTTCTCAGGAGGCTGAGGCAGGAGAATCGCTTGAAATCGGGAAGTGGAGGTTGCAGTGAGTCAAGATCACACCACTGCACTCCAGCCTAGGCGACAGAGCAAGACTCCATCTCAAAAAAACAAAAACAAAAACAAACAAAAAAAACTTCTCTGGGCATGAAGTAAAGAAGTAACCAATAGCCAGCTATGAGAGTTTGGGGTAGGGAGAGAATGGATACCTTTAGCAAACTGGAATCACTCACTTCGGTTCCAGGCCAAGAATAAATATCTCCGAACTAAGAGAGAGATGTAAAATCATCTCTGGCTTATATGCGACCTGAAAGACCATCCCTCTAAACTGCAGTATGACTCACCCTCTCTCTGCTCCTGCCCTCAGGAAGGTGTTGGGAAAATAGCAAGGTACTGATTAAAGGGAAAGAAGCTTTTTCAACTAAGGCAGCAGTATCAGCCCCATCAGAGCATTCTCTTTGGCCTGTACCACTCAGCTCAGTTTGTAACGCTGAGTTCCTCAACTGCATGCGAAGGAAGAGGAAGACTGGTACAACCCAGGAAATGGTCACCAGAAATTAGGTTAAGCCAGAAAACTGCAAATCATGCTAAAATTAAATTTACCTTCAATCTCCTCCTCCTCTTCCTCTTCTTCATCTTCGTCGTCACTGGAATCACTGACCTGCACAGTTATGTCCGTGCTGGTTACAGGGGTCCAGTCAAAATAAACTCCAAAGCCAATGTCATAGTCATCGGTCGCAAACTCCCAGCAGACACGCTTCCCCTCTGGATGAGTAGGTACCCTGATGGTCACCACTTCACCACGCTTCACCACCAGTCGGCTGTTCTTCTCTTTGCCCAGCTTGCTTTTGAATTCCTTCACCTTGGCAAATGTCCAGATGCATGGAGGAGCCATCAGAGGTGGGGAGACTGAAAGGACAGGCAGCTTACCACTGAGAAACTATGAGGAAACATGAGTACCCCTGGCATTTTGCTAAGAGAGGTTGGCACAGTCAGACATTCTTTCTACTGGCTTCTTGGACTTCCTTTCACAAGTCATTTTCTTTCCTTCCATTTGTCTGCCTGCCTTTGTTTAAGTATCTATTGAAAACAAAAAAAAACCACCTCCTTTACTCCCAAAGGTCTCACCTTTCCTGTGGTCCCCCAGAAGATCTGCAGATTCCAAATCAGCTGAAAGAACATCTATAGCTCCTGTATGCTCAGATTGGATCATAACGATGTCCCCAGACCTCTGTGGAACTTGATACTTGGCCATCTGCACAACAGAACTCTGGTTAAAGGACATAGTAGAGTGGCAGATTCTAATTAATCTCTTTTTGCATGAAGGCTGCCCCACCCCTGCTCTATTATCTCCACCATCTCCACTCAAAGCTCAATGTACTAGTCAATGTTACTTCTCTTTCTTCCAAGTAGGAGTTGTTAATACATTCTACTAATTTTTTTAAGCCACCAAAATGTTCCATTGTTTAAAGACTGTTTCCTACCTTTTGCAGCTTTTCTGCACCAAACGCTTTATAAGGTTCTTGCTCACGAACACTCTCGCAGGTTGCTGACAGTATTTGCATTGACGGTGATTCCGGGCCATGCCTTGGTCTTACTTCACCTGCACAGTACCTCCTTGTGGCTCCTCTCATTAATAGCTCTTGCTCCTAGGGTTTAGTTTGACTCTCACTCTGCCACACATCCTCCTGCTACAATTCCCACTCAAGGGTTACTTCTACATTACTGTCAATCAGCTCTCCAAAGCACCGCAGAGAGAGAATCTGGTTTATAGTCGTTCTCGCTCTCTCATCCACATCCCACCTTGGGCTACAGGTGGTCTCAGTCTTGAAGTCCCTAACAGTGTTCTATCAACAGTTACAATTTCACCTTATACCAGCCCCCAGAACCTGCATTTAAACAGTACATTTGCTGCCACATGTCTGACTTACATAGAAGAATGCAAATGGCATTTGATACTCAAAGCCCTCACTAACCCATGCAGGAGCTTACAATGTCTCCCTGGTGAGTTTCCCTTCAATCACTCAGATTCGTGTTCCTGGTTTCATGCTATTATACCTTAATTTCCTGCCCCTTCTCCAAACAGTTGGCAGGCAACTCAACAAGAAATCTATACTGATTGCCCACAGGGGAGAGCACATCAGTGAGTCAGTAATCCAGTTAAGAGGCTGGAATTGTATTTGTGAGAAATATATAAATCAAGTTTGTAATCCTCCCAAGCTGTATTCTCATATCTGTTTCTGGAGAACAATCCCTCCAGTTCTCATCTCCTTTGCTACCGGAAGTAAATCAGACTTTGGCTAGTGTGCTTAAATAAATCCTTCCGTTTCTAAAATGCTAAATAAAGGATTAGGTTGCAACATCTTAGTAAAGTCTCTAACAGCCCTTAGCCTCAGTTTCCTTATTTCTTAAATGGAGACACAATTGCACCTATCTCACAAGGGCTGTTCTCAGGAGTAAATGAAGTGTTACAGATACAAATGCTTGTAAGCTGTAAAGTATTACACAAATCTAATTATAATGTCTGGTGTTGTCTTCACTGACACTAATACCAATCATTAATACATATGCTAATAAATGTTACAAACAACCCCACCCCCATACCTCTCTGGCAGGGGTACCACTACTTTATTTATTTATTTATTTATTTTATTTATTTATTTAGTGACAGAGTCTTAGTCTTGCTCTGTTGCCTAGGCTGGAGCGCAGTCGTGCGATCTCGGCTCACTGCAACCTCTGCCTCCCAGGTTCAAGCAATTCTCCTGCCTTAGTCTCCCAAGTAGCTGGCATTACAGGCATGCACCACCATGCCCAGCTAATTTTTGTATTCTTAGTAGAGACCAGGTTTCACCATATTGGCCAGGCTGGTCTCGAACTCTTGACCTTGTGATCCTCCCACCTCAGCCTCCCAAATAGCTCTATACAGCTACTTAGAAGCCTGAGGTGGGAGGATCACTTGAGCCCAGGAGTTTGAGACTGCAGTGAGTCATGACTGCACCACTGCACTGAAGCCTGGGTGACAGAGTGAAACTTTTGTCTCAAAAATAAATAAATAAATAAAAAAGGCTGGGCATGATGGCTTATGTCTATAATCCCAGCACTTTAGGAGGCCAAGGCGGATGGATTACCTCAGGTAGGGAGTTCCAGACCAGTCTGACCAATATGGTGAAACCTGGTCTCTATGAAAAATACAAATATTAGCTGGGTATGGTGGTGCAAACTTGTAATCCCAGCTACTCAGGAAGCTGAGGTGGGAGAATCGCTTCATCCCAGGAGGTGAAGGTTGCAGTGAGCTGAGATTGTGCCACTGCACTCTAGCCTGGGTGACAGAGGGAGACCCTGTCTCAAAAAACAAACAAACAACAACAAAAAAAACTTCTGTCATAAATACTAAATAGATCTACCACAAGCAAAGCAAGAGCAAGAGTCCAATGACTTCAGGCTCCTCACATGAACAGGATTTTAGAGAACACATAAACATTCATTCTAGCACTTCATTTTCTGAATAGGTGCCTACTGGGTGCCAGTATAATGATGGGCCCTGTGGAAGATACAAATAATCATTCTCCAAATAATAATTAAAACCAAGATGCCCCAAATTCAAGGGCAAAGAGAGAATTCTGGGAGCCATCCTCGCAGTACTTTCTAATTCCAACCCATCCATCATGTGTCCACATTCTGGTGCCTCCTTTCATAAGAAAGAGCCAGAATCTGCCCCCTACCTCATTGAGGACCTGGGCTTGGTCTGTAGGCAGCAAATCCTGTTTCACCACAGCCTGAGTGTCCAAGGCACCAGTTGCTTTCCTCAGATCTTCCGTGGCATCCTTACTCACTGGAGATACCATCTGTGGCCTCTCAGAGGAAGAGAGCATGTCAATTCAAGGGCTCTTTGAAAAGACACAATTATCCTAGAGAAACTCTGAAATAAAACAACATTCGAAACAGCCCAACCCCACCTGCCCCTGACATTTCGGTCTACTGTCACTTTAGCTGACCACTGCCCAGGGCTGAATTGGTCCACAGTAAAGTGTTGGCAGTGTGAAAACAAAGACTAACAAAGCCAGCCCAAAGGCTAGGAGAGCCATGTTGAACACATAGCTCAGTCATCTGAGATGGACTGCCAGTCTAGTTTGCTTTGTCGTTGTTTCTTTTATTTATTTATTTTAGTTGACAAAGTGCAGCATATATGTATGGTATATAATGTGTTTTTGATGTATAGATACATTGTAAAATGATTAAATTGAGCTAATTAACATATTCATCTCCTCACATACTCTTTTTTTGTGGCGAGAACTTTTTTTTTTTTTTTTTTTTTTTTTTTTTTTGAGACAGGAGTTTCACTCTTGTTACCCAGGCTGGAGTGCAATGGCGCGATCTCAGCTCACCGCAACCTCCGCCCCTGGGTTCAGGCAATTCTCCTGCCTCAGCCTCCTGAGTAGCTGGGATTACAGGCACGCGCCACCATGCCCAGCTAATTTTTTGTATTTTTAGTAGAGATGGGATTTCACCACGTTGACCAGGATGGTCTTGATCTCTTGACCTCGTGATCCACCCGCCTTGGCCTCCCAAAGTGCTGGGATTACAGGCATGAGCCACTGCGCCCAGCCGTGGCGAGAACATTTAAAATCCACTGTCTTAGCAATTTTTAAGTATACATTATTATTAACTATAGTCACCATGCTGTACAAAGATCTCCAGAACTTGTTCCTCCTGACACCTTAGACCACTTGACCAACATTTCCCCAGCCCACCCGCAGGCCCCAACCCCTATTAACCACCATTCTGCCCTCTGCTTCTGTGAGTTCTAATGTTATTCCTCACTCTGAGACCCACAGAATTTTAACCGAAGAATTGTTAGAGGCCAGGCACAGTGGCTCGCACCTATAATCCCAGCACTTTAGGAGGCCAAGGCAGGCAGATCACCTTAGGTCAGGAGTTTGAGACCAGCCTGACCAACATGGAGAAAACCCATCTCTACTAAAAATACAAATATTAGCCAGGCATGGTAGCATGCGCCTGTAGTCCCAGCTACTCAGGAGGCTGAGGCAGGAGAATCGCTTGAACCCAGGAGGTGGAGGTTGTGGTGAGCCAAGATCATGCCATTGCACTCCAGCCTGGGCAACAAGAGCAAAACTCCCTCACAACAACAAAAAAAAAAAAAAAGAAGAAGAAGAATTGTTAGGGCCGGGCGCGGTGGCTCAAGCCTGTAATCCCAGCACTTTGGGAGGCCGAGATGGGTGGATCACGAGGTCAAGAGATCGAGACCATCCTGGTCAACATGGTGAAACCCCGTCTCTACTAAAAAATACAAAAAATTAGCTGGGCATGGTGGCGCGTGCCTGTAATCCCAACTACTCAGGAGGCTGAGGCAGGAGAATTGCCTGAACCCAGGAGGCGGAGGTTGCGGTGAGCCGAGATCGCGCCATTGCACTCCAGCCTGGGCAACAAGAGCGAAACTCCGTCTCAAAAAAAAAAAAAAGAATTGTTAGAATCTGAGTTCAGTGGGCCGGGCATGGTGGCTCATGCCTGCAATCTCAGCACTTTGGGAGGCAGAGGGGGGCAGATCACCTGAGGTCAGGAGTTCAAGACCAGCCTGGCCAACCTGGTGAAACCCTGTCTTTAAAAAAAAAAAAAAAGGATCTGAGTTCAGTTCTACATCAAAAGCACTGGCTAGAAGCAAAAGGAGGAGCCCTGCCTAAGGGAGACTGAGTAACAAAACGAAGGAAGTACAAACTGATTATCAAGGCAACTCTCTCCGCAGTTATCCCTGAAGCAGAGTCTTTCAGCAGTTCCATTTCATACCCTGTCCCCATTCAGTGTTCAGTTTCTCTCCTTTTTTAAGCACATTAATCAACAATCCCAATGACTTCAAACACAGCTAGGTGAATAGTTGATTTTAAAGACGCAAGGGAATGATTTATGTTCTCTTCCATTTCCCCTGGCTTCAGAGAAACTAGAATATTAGTGACAGGGCTGTAGCAAAATAACCCAGGCCTTCTGGAAATCACCAAATCCTTTTGGTGACATGGATTTTTTTGAATGGCAGTTATCAAAGTATGGTCTGGGAATCCTTGGGGTCCTCAGGACCCTTCAGAGGAGTCTGTGAAGTTCAAACTGTTTCATAATAATAATACGAAAATGTTATTTCCCTTTTTTCTTTCTCATTTTCTCAAGAGTGTACAGTGGAATTTTCCAGAGATTATTTGACATGTGATATTGCAATGGAATGAACTCGGAACCAGAGAGGAGAATCCAGCTATTTTTTATTAAGCCAAACATTAAAGAGATGTACAGTGTCTCTCTTTGTACTACATTCTTTGCTTTGAAAATTAGTTGTTTTTAAGTAAAAACATGTTTTTTATACAGCATGTAATGATTTATTATTTTTAAATGCATGAATAATCATATTCTAATTTTTCAGTTTTAGTTTCTAATACAGTAAATATTGATAGATATAACCCACACCAACAAAAGTTCTTTGGGTCTTCAATAATTTTTAAGAGCATAAAGGTCTGAGAATCCCTGCAGGAGGGCATCATTTCCTCGGAGAGGCTGAGTAAACGACAGGAAAATGGTACTATACACCTCATGGGGGAAACAGAAGGAGGCTTTATTTTGGAGTTTATTAGTTTGTTTCTTTCCTTTTTAAACATAAACAAGAAAAAGCAATCCTATTTTATAAGTTACCTCTTCAGATAAAACAGAGCCATCTTTTGGAATATCTAAAATTACTCCAACCTATCTCAGGACAGATAAGAGGTGGTCACTCTGAGAATCAGAGCTGTGGGATTCTGTTGATCTTTATAGGTTCACTTGAGTAATTCAGTGCTAAGCTGTAAATTGGCCTAGGCTGTGGGCCTATTTTAATGCTCTTCAACCAAGAAATTATAGTCCATTTCTGTTTCCTGACACTGTGTATCATCTGCCTCCTCTACTAGAAAGTAAGCTTGGTGGCAGGCACTGGGGTCTCACTGCCTCTGTATGCACAGCACCAGGAACCAAGCCTGCCACCTGGAACCCTAAGGCCCTTTGTACTCTGACTTTACCTCTCAGAATCCTCACTCTGCCCTGGTCCCTCCACCCACAAAAGCTTCTTCAATCCTTGAGAGTCCTCAAACACCCCAAGTACTCTCCCACTTGAGAGTTTTTGCATTTGCTGTAGCCTCTACCTAGAATACTCTGCTAGGATATTAACTCTTCTTTAGCTAACTGAAGACTTCTGGTAGTTTTTCTGCTGCGATGTTTCCCAGAGGTCTGTATATAAAATGGCTACCCCTCCCTGGCCTTGTCACTGTTCCTGCCCTTACCCGGCTTCATTTTTCTTCACTGCATCTATTACTGCCTGACAATGATATGGCCATATGTTGTTGATTGCAAGATGCACACTGGTTTTTAGATTTTAACACAACTGAAAGATAGGATGTCTTAAAAATTGATGATGTCTTAAAACTGCATGGCCCTGGATTGACATCAAGTCTTTCCGAAAGAGATCTGCATTTGCTTCTGCCAGTACTTAGGAATGCTACCAATATGAGATGCCTTGAAATTAAGTTATCTAGGCTGGGCGCAGTGGCTTATACCTGTAATCCCAGCACTTCGGAAGGCCAAGGAGGGTGGATCAAGAGGTCAGGAGCTCGAGATCATCCTGGCCAACATGGTGAAACTCTGCCTCTACTAAAAATACAAAAAAAAAAAAAAAAAAAAATCAGCTGGGCATGGTGGCGTGTGCCTGTAGTCCCAGCTACTTGAGAGGCTGAGGCAGGAGAATTGCTCGAACCTGGGAGGCAGAGGTTGCAGCGAGCCAAGATCACACTACTGCACTTCAGCCTGGCTGGCGACAGAGCAAGACTCTGTCTCAAAAAAAAAAAAAAAAAGAAATTAAGTTATCTGTTTAGGGTCTTGTTTAGATCATCATGGCAGAATGAATTTAGAAAAGACACTGGCTAATACCAACTTATTCCTGTTCACAGGGAAGATATTTTTTTTTCCCATGACACAGTGTCAAGTTTGAGACAATCGAGTTTCCTTGCTGTCCTTTTCTGGGAGGAGGGGGAGATTTTTCTCTTTATCCTTTCATGAAGGTGCAAGGCTTTTGGGGTCCCAGCTCCATATGGGGGGGTCTATTAGACAATCCATCTTAAGCATTTCTTCCTCTCTTGGTGATACGTACATAAAAGTACATCTTACAGTTGATGGCAACTTAAGAGTCTATGAAATATGATGTGCACTTGTTTTCTGTCCACTTCTGCCACTAGAACATAACCTCCATGAGAGCAGGATGGACTATTTTGCACATTTGTGGTATCTTGAGTACCTAGAACAGTATCAGGTACGTGGTAGGCTCCCAACAAACATCTGTTGAATAAATATTAGCCCCCAAATATTTGTTGAATAAAACAATGAATAAGTTAATTTTTGCTTGGGAATAAAACAAATTCTGGATCAGACTATCATTTATAATATTGGGAAGGTGAGACTACAACAGGTTATTTGAATCATTAGCCTGATTTTACTGTGTGTGACATCTAAAATTTAGTCTCTTTGCCTTTGTGCATGCTACCTTGAAAAAACATGGTTCTGCTTATTAAAAAAATATTTTGGGCCTGGTGTGGTGGCTCAAACCTGTAATCCCAGCACCTTGGAAGGTAGGCAGATCACAAGGTCAGGAGATCAAGATCATCCTGGACAACATGGTGAAACCCTGTCTCTACTAAAAATACAAAAATTAGCTGGGCATGGTGGTGTGCGCCTGTAGTCTCAGCTACTCCAGAAGCTGAGGCAGGGGAATCGCTTGAATCGGGGAGGCGGAGGTTGCAGTGAGCCAAGATCATGCCACTGCACTCCAGCCTGGTGACAGAGCAAGATTCTGTCTCAAAAAAATAAAAAAATAAAAATAAAAAATAAAACATATTTTAAGGCTGGGTATGGTGGCTCATGCCTGTGGTCCTAGCTACAAGGCTGAGGTGGGAGGGTTGCATGAGTCCAGAAGCTTGAGGCTGCAGGGAGTTATGACTACTCACCATGCTCCAGGCTGGGCAACAGAGTGAGACTCTGTCTCAATAAATAATAATAAAATTATGTTAAGAAGGATATGTGCCAGTCACATAAATTTAATATTCACATTAGCATTTTATGCTCTGGAGAATTAGAAAAGGGCATGTGGGGAAAGATGAATTTCAAATCACTCGATGCTGGTGATAAGCCACGTAAAGGAAAAGCCTTCACTTTAAGCTTCTGGTGTGTACAGGGAGGTCATCTCAAAGGGAGGGGAAAGCCTGGCCGGCCAGCCAGCCTCACTAGAAAAGACAGAAAGTTGTGCCGCTTCCACTTCCAATAGACACATAAGCATAAGCACTGAGCCTCAGGCATCACACTCACTGGATTCTTATCTTCACTCAGTAGACGTTAGAAACAATAGTGAAAAATTAAATCCCTGGATGCGGTGGCTCACACCTGTAATCCCAGCACTTTGGAAGGCTGAGGCCGGAAGATCATGAGGTCAGGAGTTCAAGACCAGCCTCACAAATATGGTGAAACCCCATCTCTACTAAAAAATACAAAAATTAGAAGGGTGTGATGACACGTGCCTGTAGTCCCAGCTAGTAGGGAGGCTAAGGCAGAAGACTCATTTGAACCCGGGAGATGGAGGTTGCACCACTGCACTCCAGCCTGGGTGACAGAGTAAGACTATGATACTCAATACCTCAGGGTTTTTCCAAAATACAGGATTTCATTAGTTATTCTATTAGTGCTTCATGGTTTCTACTCTTTCCAGGGCTCAGTACCTCTTCCCTTTCTGTTATATATTCTAATATCAAAGATGGTGGTTGGGGCAGGGCACAGTGGCTCACACTTGTATTCCCATCACTTTGGGAGGCCGACGTGGGCGGATCATGACGTCAGGAGATGGAGACCATCCTGGCCAACATGGTAAAACCCCATCCCTATTAAAAATACAAAAATTAGCCAAGCGTGGTGGTGCATGCCTGTAGGCCCAGTTACTCAGGAGGCTGACGCAGAAGAGTCACTTTAACCTGGGAGGCAGAGGTTGCAGTGAGCTGAGATCACACCACTGCAATCCAGCTTGGCAACAGAGCAAGACTCCATCTCAAAAAAAAAAAAAATGATGGTGGTTGGATGAGATGGCAGAGAAGGAAATTAAGAAAGAAAACCTAAAGGCCATCATAATGGTTTAATCTGAAAATTATAGAATAAAAAAATTCCAATTGTTTTAGTGAGAGCATGTGTATGTGTGTATGCATTTTATGGGTAAAAACCAAACATGCATTCTCTTGCAAGGCCACCTGGAGTCTCCTTCAAATATTTTAACATTTGAACACGATCTTCAGGAGAAGATAAATGAGGACACTAGAAGATAAATGAGGACACTACACTAGACTATTTGTTATAGTTTATTCTCTGAGAGTAAAAGAAAAGTGTATAACCTGAAATAGATCTGACATTGCCCCTAAACACACTTGAGGGTTGATGACAAAACCATCCATATTCTTTACTTCAACTTGTCTTCCCCCTTAAAGTCACTACCCAAATTTCTTTCACCAATTCCTCATCTCAAACAATAAAGCCTCTGACAACGTTTTATCCCAAGTGGTTACCTGTGGGGTGAGGAACGGGGTTCTGGATCAGTGGCAGAAGCCAATGAAGAGGTATCCTTGTTGTTTTCTAGATCTTCATTCTCTAGAAAATCATAGAAAGAAAGAATTTAATATCTGAGAGGGAACACAATCATAATTCTCTTGTACCTTTAAAAAAATCTGGCAATTTCAATCAAATTCTTCCCCAAAATATTCTGGTCTGAACTTTGCATGCTGGGAGGCATCCAAGTATTCTCAGACAGTCATAACTCATTCATAAAAAATGAGTCATTTCCAAAACAAGTCTCCAAAAAGCTAACCCTATAATCCCAACATTTGGGAGGCCAAAGCAGGAGGATTGCTTGAGGCCAGGAGTTCAAGACCAGCCTGGGCAACAGAGCAAGATTCTATCTCTAAAAAAACATTAAGGCCAGGTGCGGTGGTTCACGCCTGTAATCCCAGCACTTTGGGAGGCTGAGGTGAGTGGATCACCTGAGGTCAGGAGTTCGTGACCTGCCTGACCAACATGGTGAAACCCCATCTCTACTAAAAATACAAAATTAGCCAGGCATCATGGTGCGTACCTGTAATCCTAGCTACTTGGTAAGCTAAGGCAGAAGAATCACTTGAACCTGGGAGGTGGAGGTTGCAGTGAGCCGAGATCACACCATTGCACTCTGGGCAACATAAGTGAAACTCCATCTCAAAAAATATAATTAAAAAAAATAGGACTGGCGTGGTGGCTCATGCCTAGAATCTCAGCACTTTGGGAGGCCAAGGCGGGTGGGTGGATCACTTGAGGTCAGAAGTTCAAGACCAGCCTGGCCAACATGGTGAAACCCTGTCTTCACTAAACATACAAAAATTGGCCAGGCCTGGTGGTAGGCACCTGTAATCCCAGCTACTCAGGAGGCTGCAGAATTGCTTGAACCCAGGAGGCAGAGGTTGATGTAAGCCAAGATCGTGCCACTGCACTCTAGCCTAGGCAACAGAGTGAGACTTTGTGTCAATAAAAAATAATAAAAATAAATTTTAAAATTTAAAAAGAAAGAAAAGAAAGGAAGGAAGGAAGGAAGGAATCATATTTCTCAGAAAGTAGATGGTCCAATAAGGCAGAACATAGAGGGTAGAGTGGGATGTAAGATAAACTGAATTTAGTCTCAAAGTATAAAGTGTCACTTCTACATTCAGTGAGTTCAGGTCAATGCACCCAAGGTCAGGTAAAGGACTTTTGTAATTTCATTTATTTATTCAGTCACTCATTTAGTAATGATTTATTGAATAACTAGGTGCCCTCAAGGAGTATATAGGTGAAATGCATAATGAAGGCCATGTTCTCAAGCTCACAACAAGCATATGGCTGGCACTGTCACAGCCATTTTTGCAGGTAAGGAACCTAAGGCATAGGGACAGGAATCAAACCCAGGCAGTTGTGCTCTTAACCATCAGATGCTGCTTAGTTTTGTGGGTTATTCATTTAGTTTTTCCTTGAATACTCAGATAGCATATGGCTTAGTTCATTTAGACAGCCCCTCATTTAACTCCCTCTGTGTAAGACAGCAAGACACTGAAGACCGGAGTTTACTTCTCAATACAAAATGCAACTTAATGAAGTCAACTTCAAACATTGAAAGTTTCAGAGTTTGGAAGCAAAGTCAAAGTGAAAATAAAAGGCAAAATTCTTAATCCAAGCTTAATCTAGTCTCAGTTTTTATATGTGAACAAAATCTATTTTTCTTTTCTTTTTTTGGGGGGTGGGGATGGGGGACAGAGTTTCCCACTATCACCCAGGCTGGAGTGCAGTGACACAATTATGACTCTTGGCAACCTCAGCCTTCTGGGTTCAAGCAATCCTCTCACCTCAGCCTCCTGAGTAGCTAGGACCACAGGCACACCCCACCAAGCCAGACTAATTTTTTTATTTTTTGTAGAGATGAGGGTCTTAATATGTTGCCCAGGCAGACTGGTCTTGAATTCCTGGGCTCAAGTGATCCTCCCACCTCAGCCTCCCCAAGTGCTGAGATTACAGGTGTAAGCCACGGTGCCCACCCAGCCAAGATCTATTTTTCTTTTGGTCAATTCAGTCTCATAGGCAGAAAGAACTTAGAGCTCCTACCACCCAATTTTTCTCCCAACAAAGAAACTGAGTCTAAGACATCTCTGCCACTCTGTAAAGAGGCCCATTCACTGAGGGAAAATGCAAATACAAAGTTCTCCCCATTGTTGACCTAAGTGAAATGCGCTGTCTCATAAATTCTCCTCTTTGACCACCAATCCCCACAGTATTCTTTCACATATTGACAGCTGGCTGTCACATTTCCACAAGTTCCTTCTCCTCAGGTTGGTCACTTTCACACCACACAATCTGTAACCATACTGGCCTCCTTCAGCTGCTTCACTTAGTTTGTTCCATTTAAAGAAAGGAGCCAAAATGAACTTCTCCAGATGTGTTCCAATAGGTGCAGACTACACTGACAATAACCTCTTGAAGAGGACACAATATTTCTTGACATAATACCCTAACCAGGCACTAGATTTCTTAACTGCAAACTTACTCTGTTGGCCTAAATAAGTCAATCAAGATCTCCAGGGCTTATAAAAATAAACTTTTTCCAAGCCCACTCTCTCTTATGCTCTACTTTTAAAATTGACTTTTGGAAAATAATTGACTTTTTAACTTAAAACCGGGACTTTATATAACCTATTATTGATTTGAAATTAACTTTTGAAATCACTCTAATGCTTTGTTCATTGTAGAAAAAAGTAAGTACAGATAAGAAAACATTTTGCATCTACCCTTCCAGACTTTATATCCTTTAAATATTTTTTAATATACAGATAATCCATTGTTCACTGTAAAAAAAAAAAAATCAGGAAATACAGATAAGCAAACAACAACAAACTAACCATAACCCTACTAACCAAAGATTACCACTGTTAACTTTGTTTTAAGACACAAGATTCACTGGGCATGGTGGCTCACTCCTGTAATCCCAGCACTTTGGGGGACCAAGGTGAGTGGATCACCTGAGGTCAGGGGTTCAAGACCAGCCTGGCCAACATGGCAAAACGCTGTCCTACTAAAAAATACCAAAATTAGCTGGGCATAGTGGTGGGTACTGTAATCCCAGCTACTCGGGAGGTTGAGGCAGGAGAATCACTTAAACCTGAGAGGAAGAGGTTACAATGAGCCAAGACTGCACCACTGCACTCCAGCTTGGGCAACAGAGCAAGACTCCATCTCAAAAAAAAAAAAAAAAAAGACACGAGGTCTCTCTGTGTTGCCCAAGCTAGTCTCAACCTTTTGGGCTCAAGTGATCCTCCTACCTCCCCCTCCCAAAGTGCTGGGATTACAGCATGACACCAACTGTTAACATTGTTATGTATATCCCTTGAAAAATATATTCATACATATACACATACAAATACATATGTATATATATTGTGTGTGTATATGTATTTCTGAAAGGACATGCACTAAACACTTTTTTTTTTGAGACAGAATTTTGCTCTGTTGCCCAGGCTGGAGAGTAACGGCTCAATCTCAGCTCACTGCAACCTCCATTTCCCGGGTTCAGGCGATTCTCCTGCCTCAGCCTCCCAAGTAGCTGGGATTACAGGTGCCCACCACCATGCCCAGCTAACTTTTTGTATTTTTAATAGAGACAGGGTTTCACCATGTTGGCCTAGTCATGAACTCCTGACCTCGTGATCTGTCTGCCTCGGCCTCCCAAAGTGCTGGGATTATAGGTGTGAGCCACTGCACCTGGCCTTCTCCTTAGCTTCTAATCTTCTGTTATTTGTTTTTGAAAACATAAGGAAATATATATACATATAGTTGTATGTTGCCCCCATCTTAGAAAAAAATACACATTCTTCTTCTGCAACTTTTTTTTTTTTTTTTGAGTCAGGGTCTTGCAGTGTCACCAGGCTGGAGTGCAGTAGTGTGATCACAGCTCACTGCACTCTCAACCTCCCAGGCTTAAGCGATTCTCCCGCCTCAGCATCCCGAGTAGCTGGAACCACAGTCCCACGCCACCGCACCCAACTAATTTTTTATATTTTTTGTAGAGATGGGGTTTTGCCATGTAGCATAGGCTGTTCTCGAACTCCTGAGCTCAAGCAATATGCCCACCTCAGACTCCCAAAGTGCTAGGATTATAGGCATGAGCCATTGCGCCTGGCTGCAACTTGTTTTATCACTTAACAACATAGCCTACAAGAGCTTTCAAGTTGGTCAATTTATCCACATTCCAGAACGGTGGCACAGCCCAACTCCATGCAGTCGGAAGCTCCTGCACTCAGGACCCTTCCAGGCCTCGCCCTATGTATCTCTTCATCTGGCTGTTTATCCGTTATAATAAACCAGTCAACACAGGCAGAAATTCTCCAGATGTCTCCTAGTAATGTCCAAGTTTTTATCCCAGTGTCACAAAGAAGTATCAATGAAGAAACAACATGACCTACCCAGGAAAACCTCCAATGACCTGAAGACATTTACTCAGGAGCTGTGTTAAGTTTTCATAGCATCTCCTATCAAGGAAAAGTGAAGAGTAGCTTTCTACTTGATCAAAAAACAATTTAAAAAGAAATATTGGCAGGAAGCAGTGTCTCATGATGCCTGTAATCCCAGCACTTTTGGAGGCCGAGGTGGGCAGATCACGAGATCAGGAGTTCAAGACCAGCCTGGCCAACATCGTGAAACCCTGTCTCTACTAAAAATACAAAAATTAGCTGGGTGTGGTGGCATGTACCTGTAGTCCCACCTGCTCACGACATTGAGGCAAGAGAATCACTTGAACCCAGGAGGTGGAGGTTGCAGTGAGCTGAGATGGAGCCATTGCATTCCAGCCTGGGTTACAAAGCAAGACTCTGTCTCCAAAAAAAAAAAAAGAAATATTAATGAATATCAAAGGGATCATGAAACCTGGCCTTAATGCCATTCTAGTACATACAAGTGGAGGCAAATCTTTGTTGTTAGATGTCTGAGCTGCAAAGAAAAGATCCACAGGATTATATTGAGACGTTTTGATAAATGGAGTACCTCAATCTGCCAATTTCAAATGTAATTCAGGTTCTGTGGTACAGGATGATATCATAATGGGCACCCTGACATTGAGAGAAAATTTACGGTTCTCAGCAGCTCTTTGGCTTCCAACAACTATGACAAAAACAGGGGAAAAAAATGAATTAATTGGCTGGGCGCAGTGGCTCATGCCTGTAATCCCAGCACTTTGGGAGGCTGAGGTGGGTGGATCACCTGATGTCTCCTAGTTGGGAGTTTGAGACCAGCCTGACCTACATTGAGAAACCCCATCTCTACTAAAAATATAAAAATTAGCCAGGCATGGTGGCGGGTACCTGTAATCCCAGCTACTTGAGAGGCTGAAGCAGGAGAATCACTTGAACCCAGGAGGTGGAGGTTACAGTGAACCGAGATCATGCCATTGCACTCCAGCCTGGTCAACAAAAGTGAAACTCCATCTCAAAAAAAAAGAACAAATTAATATGGTCATTCAAGAGTTAGGTCCAGAAAAAGTAGCATTCCAAGATTGGAACTCCATTCATGGTGTGTCTGGAAAAGATTATACAGATCTTCCTCACTATTTTAAATTTTGTATTATATATGTTTAAGTTATACATGTTTTGATATATATATAGAGATGGTGAAATGGTTACCATATCAAGCAAATCAATAAATCCATCATCCCACAGCTACCCTCTTTTTTTGGGATGTTGAACATCTTTTTATACGCCTGTTGGCCATTGTGTGGTGAGCACCTAAAATTTACTTTCAGCAAAAATCCCAAGCACAATATTATCAACTATAGTTCTCATATTGTACATTAAATCTCTAAACTTGTTCATCCTATATATCTCTACTTTGTATCCTTTGACCTACACCTCCCGCTTTCCTCTACTATCACTACCACCACGTCTAGTAACCACTATTTTATTCTGTTTCTGTGTACTTGATTTTTTTTAGATTACATATATAAGTGAGATCATGCAGTATTTTTCTTTTTGTGCACAACCTTAGTTCACTGCAACCTTTGTCTCCCAGGTTCAAGCGATTCCCCTGCCTCAGCATTGAGTAGCTGAGATTACAGGTGCATGCCACCATGCCCAGCTTATATATATACACACATATATATATATGAAGTAAAATATATCTATTAATATATAAAGTATACACACACACACACAAGTAAAATTGTGCTTAATGTCATCCAGGCTCATCCATATGTGGCAAATAGCATGCCACCATGCCCAGCTAACATATATATTAAGTAAATATATATATTAAGTAAAATACATATTTTACTTAACATAATGTCATCCAGGCTCATCCATGTGTGGCAAATGGTAGGATCTCTTTCTTTTTGTTGTTGTTTTTGTTTTTGTTTTTGAGATGGAGTCTCGCTCTGTTGCCCAGGCTGGAGTGCAGTGGCGCGATCTCGGCTCACTGCAACCTCCGCCTCTCAGGTTCAAGCGATTCTTCTGCCTCAGCCTCCTAAGTAGCTGAGACTATAGGCACATGCCACCATGCCTGGCTAATTTTTGTATTTTTTGGTAGAGATGGAGTTTCACCATACTGGCCAGGCTGGTCACGAACTCCTGACCTTGTGATCCACCCACCTCAGCCTCTCAAAGTACTGGGATTACAGGCATGAGCCACTGTGCCTGGTCCTAGGATCTCTTTTATAAGGCTAAAAAATATTCGTGTGTGTGCATGCGTGTATGTATATGCACACCACTGCTTCTTTATTCATTCGTCTGTCAACAGACCCATAGATTGTTTTCATGTCTTGGCTATTGTGAATAATGCTACGATGAACAGATACCTTTATGAGGTGGTGATTTCACTTCCTTTGGGCATATAGTCAGAAAAGGGATTAATGGGTTGTGTGGGAGTTCTACTTTTAATTTATTTAGGAATTTCCATACTATTTTTCACAATGACTGCATCCATCTACATTTGTACCAACAGTTGTTATCTCTCATCAAAGATTAGTCATCTTAACAGGCATGAGGTGATATCTTACTGTGGTTTTAATTTGCATTTCCCTTGTGATTACTGATGTTGAACATCTTTTCATGTACCTGTTGGCTGTTTTTATGTCTTCTTTGGAAAAACATCCATACAGGTCCTTTGCCTTTTTTTTTTTTTTTTTTTTTTTTTTTTCCAACGGAGTCTTGCTCTGTCAGACAGGCTGGAGTGCAGTGACACAACCTCAGCTCACTGCAACCTGTGTCTCTTAGGTTCAAGTGATTCTCCTGCCTCAGCCTCCCAAGTAGCTGGGATTACAGGTGCATACCACCATGCCCAGCTAATTTTTTTGTATTTTTGGTAGAGACGGGGTTTCACCATATTGATCAGGCTGGTCTCAAACTTCTGACTTCAAGGGATCCACCCACCTTGGCCTCCCAAAGTGCTGGGATTACAGGCGTGAGCCACCACACCTGGCCTAATTTCATTCTTTTGCATGTGAAAATCCAGTTTTCCCAGAACCGTTTATTGAAGAGACTATCTTTTCCCCACAGTGTCCTCTTAGTATCTTTGTCAAAAATTAGTTGGTCATATGTGCGTGGGTTTATTTCTATTCTGATCCACTGGTCTGTGTGTCTATTTTTATACCAGCACCATACTGTTTTGATTACTACAGCTTGTAATAGAATTTGAAATCAGAAAGTGTGATGCCTCCTACATTTTCTTTCTCAGAATTCCTTGTTTATTCAGGGTATTTGTGGTTACACACAAGTTTTAGAATCGTTTTTTCTATTTCTGTGAAGAATGTCATTAGAATTTGGACTGGGGTTATGTTAAGTCTGCATATTGCTTTGGGTAGTATGGATATTTGAACAACATTAATTTTTCCAAAACATACGATGTCTTCCTATTTGTTTGTGGCTTCTTAATTTCTTTCATCAGTGCTTTATAGTCTTAAGTGTCCAGATATTTCTGGTTAAGTTTATTCTTAACTTTTTTTTTCTTGAGACAGGGTCTCTGTAACCCATGCTGGAGTATAGGGGTACAATTACAGCTCACTGCGGCCTCAAGCTCCAGGGTTCAAGCAGTCCTCCCACCTCAGCCTCCTGAGTAGTTGGGACAACAGGCATGGGCCACTACGCTAGGCTACTTTATTCTGTACTTTTTATGCTATTGCAAATGGGATTATTTTCTTTTTTTTTTTTTTTGAGACGGGAGTTTCGCTCTTGTTACCCAGGCTGGAGTGCAATGGCGCGATCTCGGCTCACTGCAACCTCCGCCTCCTGGCTTCAGGCAATTGGCCTGCCTCAGCCTCCTTAGTAGCTGGGATTACAGGCACGTGCCACCATGCCTAGCTAATTTTTTGTATTTTTTTAGTAGAGACGGGGTTTCACCATGTTGACCAGGATGGTCTCGATCTCTTGACCTCGTGATCCACCCGCCTCGGCCTCCCAAAGTGCTGGGATTACAGGCTTGAGCCACCGCGTCCGGCGGGATTATTTTCTTGATTTCTTTTTTGGATAGGTTGTTACTATGTATAGAAATGCAACTGAATTTTGTACACTGATTTTGTATCCTGCAACTTTATTGATGTCATTTATTAACTCTAAGTTTTTGTGTAGAGTCTTTGAGGTTATTTACATGTGGAATAATGTCATCTGCAAATGGACATAACTTTACCTCTACCATTCAGCTAACTGTATGCCTTTTTTTTTTTTGTCTGCTTGCTCTTGCTAGCACTTCCAACACTATGTTGAATAGAAGTGGTGAGAGTGGTCATCCTTGCCTTGTGCCAGATCATAGAAAAAAAGTTTTCATTTTTCTGCATTAAGACACTGGCTTTGGGTTTTTCATAAGTAGTCTTTATTAGGTTGAGTAAATTTCCTTCTATATCTAAAGTTGTTGCCAGTTTAAAATAAGCTATTCTAACTATAAGATCTTCTATATAAGCCTCATGGTAACCACAAAGCAAAAAATCATGCCAGATAAATAATAAAGAGAAAGGAATCAAAGCTCAGCATTATAGAAAATCACCAAATCACAAAGGAAGACAACAGAGAACGAAAGGAACAAAGGCTCTACAAAACAACCAGAAAACAATGAACAAAATACCAGCAGTAAATCCTTACCTATCAATAATAAGCTTGAATGTAAATGGATTAAGTTCTGCAATCAGAAGACACAGAGTGGGTGAATGGATTAAGAAAAAACTAAGATACAACCTTTATGCTGCCCACAATAGACTCATTTTAGCTTTAAGAATACAGACAGGCCAGGCGCAGTGGCTCACGCCCGTAATCCCTGTACTTTGGAAGGCTGAGGCAGGTGGATCACCTGAAGTCAGGAGTTCAAGGCCAGTCTGGCTAAGATGATGAAACCCTGTCTATACTAAAAATACAAAAAAATTAGCCAGGCATGGTGGCAGGCGCCTATAATCCCAGCTACTCAGGAGGCTGAGGCAGGAGGATCACTTGAACATGGGAGGCGGAGGTTACGGTGAGCTGAGATCTCACCAGTGCACCCCAGCCTGGGCAACGAGAGCAAAACTCGGTCTCAAAAACAAAACAAAACAAAACAAAAACAAACAAAGAAACATACAGGCTGAAAGTGAAAGAACTGAAAAATATATTCCATGTAAACAGTAGCCAAGAAAGAGCAGAGGTGGCTATACTTAGACAAAGTCTAAAAACTGTCACAAGAAACAAAGAAGGCCATTATTTGATGATAAAGGTGTCATCAAGTCATCAAGAGGAAATAACAATTATAATAACTACAAATGCACTCAACATCAGAGCACCTACAGGTATAAACCAAATTTTAATAGATATGAAGGGGGAAAGAGACAGCAATGTAAGAATAGTAGGGGATTTCAATATCCCACTTTCAAAAATGGATATATCAACTAGACAGAAAATTAATAAGGAAATACTAGACTTGAACTACACTTGGGACCAAATAGGCCCAACAGACATACACAGAACTCTCCATACAACAGTAGCAGAATACACATTCTTCTCTATTGCATAGGTAACATTCTCCAGACTAGATCATATGTTAGGCCACAAAACAAGGCTTAACAAATTTATAACTGAAATCATAACAAGTATTATTTCCAACCACAATGGTAAAAAGCTAGAAATCAGTAACAGAAGGAATTCAGGGAAATTCACAAAGATGTGGAAATTGAACAACCTACTTCTGAACTACCAATATATTAGAGAAGAAATCAAAAGAGAAAACATATCTTGAGACAAAAGAGAATGGAAACATAACATACTAAAACCTATGGAATACAGCAAAAGCAAAAGCAATTATAAGAAAGATATTTATAGCAATAAATTCCTGCATTAAAAAAGAAGAGGCCAGGCATGGTGGCTCAGGCCCGTAAT